GAATGTGGTAAAGCTCTGATTAGTCTCTGTATAGATCTATAGTAGAGCTGTATGAATGTGGTAAAGCTCTGATTAGTCTCTGTATAGATCTAGTATAGAGCTGTATGAATGTGTAGATGAAGCAGCGATTGTTGTAAAGAGCTTCGAGGGTCTTGATCAGATAGAAAGGAGCTGTATAGGTACAGTCCATTTACCATTTTCCCATCAAGAAGACCTCTGGCAGAACAGGAAGTGGGTGATATACAGGTTTATCTTACCTTGTTAGTCCTTTACCCAGAATGTATTGAGGTTGCAGACGTTTTCCTTTGGATGGAATTTAAAACTTTTAATAACTTTTGTTTTCCATCTTTCTAAACAACAGTCTAAAATACAAAAACCTGAAGTGTATTGAACATTTAGTGAAATCCTGCCTTTCTACAAACACAACTCCGTAAGAATAAAGACTAAACGTTCCAGTCTGAGATGTTTGAAGGTACAACTCACCAACAGCTCTGCTCAACTGACAAACTGAAACTACATCATCGAGAACGTTCACACAAACTGAAGATGGATCATCTCACAAACACTTTTCCTGAACAACTTTTGTCTACGGAAGAAGAACCCAGCAGGCCTCTCGACAGACTCGTCTGCCTCCAGGATCCTGAACATCAGCAGATCAGAACCAGACGAGTCTTTGTAAAAGGTTTGTAGTCCTCATCTCTCTGACCTCTTCCGTTCTGCTTTATAAACAGCTGCAACAGGAAGTGGTGCTGAGTGGGGCGGGGCTTTACAGCGAGGTCTCCAAACTGTGCAGGGGGCTTCCTGGACAGGGGGGCAGCCCCGCAGAGTTCTGCAAGATCAGACCGGGCCTGGAACTGTCTTTAAGCAGCGGGGCGATGTGGTCCATGGCGTTGTTGTTCTGGTTGGGCGAGGACGGGAGAGATGGTGGGTTGGACAGTCCGGTCAGGGGTGGGGGAACGATGGAGTTTCGTTTGGTGGGGGGGTCGTCCTCGTCCTCGTTTTCATCGATCAGGGGGATCTGAGTGTCAAAGTCCTCGATGTGAAACTCCGGGTGGTTCATGAAGTTGTGAATGGAGCTGCGAGACTCGGGTGTCTCCAGACCTTTGTAGGGAGACACGCTGTCCCTGAAGGCGTTCACCACACGGATCTACGAGACGAGAGAGGCAAACGATTTCCCTTTGTTACATTTAGCTAGCATCATGCTGCTTTCAGCTTCAGTTAACCTTTGGCTACTTTTTGCCTTTAGTTATCCGTTTGCTACTTTTAATTAGCTTTTGGTACTTTTATTTTTTAGCTACAATTTTTCTCCTTTTTTAGCCTTTTGAAGCATTTAGCTTGTAGCTAGCCATTTGTTGGATTTATCTACCATTATGTTCTTTTAGTTAGCCTTTTGCTAATTTTCACATCTGTCTAGCCTTTTGAAACTTATGTAACCTATTGCTACTTTTAGCTTTTAGCTAGCTTTTTGTTACATGAAGCTAGCATGATGCTATGTTTAATCAACGTTTTGTCACTTTTTGCTTCTTTGTAGCTTTTTGCTACAACTAACGAGCATCATGCTACTTTTAGGTTTAAGTAAACCTTTTTCTATTTTTATATTTTTAGCTAGCATTATGCGACATGTATTCTACCAGTTGGTACTTTTAGCTTCTAGCTAAACTTTTGAAACTTTTATCTTGTAGCTCGTGTTCTGATATTTTTAGTTTTTACAAGTCATTTTTAGATTCACCAAAACCCTCCATCACTCAACATTTTACAGACAAGACCATTTGGGTTGATTAGATTATTATTATTATTATTATTTATTTTATTTATTAGTTTAACGAGCTTGTTGGCCTTCAGTTTATGTTCAGCTAAAAACATGTTTCTCAAGAAAAAAAGTCCTAAACACATAAATAATCAAATGCAATTGTAAAATTATTCTTTTCATATTTTCCCTCTTCAGAGTCTCCACAGGAAGTCCTCCTCCATCTCACTCTGTCCTCTGTGTCCTCTGTCCTCACTCCAACTACCTCCATGTCCTCTCTAACTGCATCCATATATCTCCTCTTTGTCTTTTTCCTGCAGCTGCATTTCTAACATCTTTCTACCAATATACCCACTGTCCCTCCTCTGGACATGTCCAAACCACTGTCCCTCCTCTGGACATGTCCAAACCATCTCAGTGTGTCCTCTCTAACTTTATCTCCCAGTTGTCCAACCTGTGCTGTACCTCTGATGATCTCATTCCTGATCTTCTCCATCCTTGTCTCTCCTAAGGAGAACCTCAACATCTTCATTTCTACTTCCAGTTCTGTCTCCTGTCTTTTTGTCCATGCCACTGTCTCCAGACCATACCATATAACTGGTCTCACCACTGTCTTGTAAACTTGACCTTTGACCTTTGCTGACACCCTCTGTCTCAAATCACTCCTGAAACTTTTCTCCATCACTCCATCCTGCCTGGACTCTCTTCTTCTCCTCTTCACCACACTCCCCATGTTCCTGGACAGTGGACCCCAAGTCCTTGAAGTCCTGCACCTTTGTGACCTCTGCTCCTTGTAGCCTCACTGTTCCACCTCCTCCCTCTCATTCACACATGGACTCTGTCTTACTACGGCTGACTTTCATTCCTCTTCTTTCAAGTGCATACCTCCACCTCTCCAAGTTCTCTTCCACCTGTTCCCTGTTCTCACCACAGATCACGTCATCTGCAAACATCATGGTCCACAGGGATTCCTGCCTGACCTCATCTGTTAGTCGCTTCATCACCAGAGCAAACAAGAAGGGGCTCAGAGCCGATCCTTGATGCACTCCCACCTCCACCTTGAAGCTATCTGTCACTCCTACAGCACATCTCACCACTGTCCTGCTGTCCTTATTCATGTCCTGCTGTCCTTATACATGTCCTGCTGTCCTGATACATGTCCTGCTGTCCTCATACATGTCCTGCTGTCTTCATAATTGTCCTGCTGTCTTCATACATGTCCTGCTGTCCTCATACATGTCCTGCTGTCCTCGTACATGTCCTGCTGTCCTTATACATGTCCTGCTGTCCTGATACATGTCCTGCTGTCCTCGTACATGTCCTGCTGTCCTTATACATGTCCTGCTGCCCTGATACATGTCCTGCTGTCCTCATACATGTCCTGTACCAGTCTAAAATACTTCTCTACCACTCCAGATCTCCTCATGTAACACCACACCTCCTCCCTCGGCACTCTGTCAGATGATTTTTCTAAATCCACAAAGACACAATGGAGTTCTTTCTGACCTTCTCTGTTCTTCTCCATCAACATCCTCAAATCAAAGACGGATCTGTGGAGCTCTTTCTCAGCATGAAACCATCCTGCTGCTCACAGTCTCCTCTCATCAAAGTCTAACTTCCACAACACTCTCCCAGATCTTCATCGTGTGACTCATCAACTTAATTCCTCTGTAGTTGCAACATCTCTGTACATTCAGTATTTACACTTAATGAAGAACTTTGGAAGCTTTTTATTTATTATTTACATGTGAAATGAGTCAAAAGGAAAACTAAACCTTGTCCAAAAGATCTTTATTATGTTTTAATAAGTTTATTTGATCTCACAGGTAGAAGACAGGACTGAATTCATGTTAAACACATGATGATTTAGTAAGGCTGTCTGACCTGATGGTTTTTAAAGTTACCTTAATAAGTGAGCTAAGAGAGGAGGAGTTCTGCTGAGACATGTTCAGTGATGGTAGGACTCTGGAGGTGAACTGGCTTATCTGATGATTTATTTTGGTGCTCTCAGGGTTTACTCGATATGACTGTGTCATTTCTGCTTTATTTTGTAGCGTCGCTCTTCTTGCAGCCTAACAATCATCACGGCCTCTGCATGAGACAAACAGGTTTCTGTTACGAGACCATGGCGGGGTCTCCCATCGTACCTGAGTCTGGATGCGGTTGAGGCCGCGGCACCAGAGCACCTGACTTCTCTTGAGCTCCATCTCAGCGTGATCAATCTCATCTTTGTCCTCCAGCTCCTCCAGCTCCTCCTCAGGGATCTCCTCCTGCTGCGTGCCGTGACCTGCAGTTTTCAGGAACTTTAGCCAGCTGGTAGGGACGCTGGACACAAACTGGGGGAGGACAAAAAGGACACACTGATCAGAGACTACATATATTGATGTAAAACTTGGTGTGGCAGTAGCTGAGAATGATCCTGAACTCATAATCTGAGGCCTGACTGCAAAAGATCTGTGTTTTAAATGTCACCATCAGCTGTTTGAAGTCAGCTCTGTCTCTATTTTAGCACTTTAATTGTGAACTAGGCGGCACGGTGGCTCAGTTGGTAGAGCTGTTGCCTGTCAGCACTAAAGTCGCTAGTTCAAATCCCAGCCGGGGGCCTTTCTGGGTGGAGTTTGCATGTTCTATCCATGCTGCGTGGGTTTTCTCCCACGAACCAAAAACATGCATGTTAGGCTGATTGGTAACTCTAAACTGCCTCTAGGTGTCCCTGTGATGGACAGGAGACCTGTCCAGGGTGTCCCCACCTCTCCTACAGTGACTGCTGGACATGTGCACCAGTGACCCCCATGACTCAAAAAGGAAGAAGCGGGTAAAGATGATGGATGGATGGATGGAATATGTGAACCACTCAACAGATTTAATGAAACTTTCAGGTTATGTGTTGAACAGTAAATATTAAAATGATTCACTTTTGGAGGAAAACCAACCCAAGATGGTGGCCACAGCCAACTGACCTTAGAAAAGACAGAAATGACCAATACACTCATTTTCAGTTTCAATGAGCGCTTACTGGACTTTCATCAGTGCCATGAGGAAGAATAACACGCTGGAAAATGTTAGGGTAACATGAAGGACAGCAGAACGTCCTCTCAGCACCTCAGAGCATAAAGTAATCCATGTTTCACACACACAGGTCAGTGTTTCTGTCCACACCAGAGATCTGAGTTCACACGTGCTCCACTGACAAAACTGAAGAATATAAAGGCTGGTTCCTCTCTACAGACCGGAACAACTTCACTCAAGTCCCACACCCATCCTTTTTCATACAAAACCTTTGAAATATGACAGAGCATGTTCTGTGACAAACGCTGAAAAGTAACTCAAACTGGATTCAAGCTGTTTCAGTTTCTGCTCTGGAAACAGCGTCCTCACTTCCATATGTGAGGAGGAACATCCCGCCACAGATCTGATCATGTGACACCACCAGATTTCTGTTGTTCAAAGCTGGAGGCAGCTGCAAAAATGGGCTCATGGAGAAAACACCCCCATCCATTCTCAGCCCCACCTCTGTCTGACTGAGGCTCAAAGTCATTTGTCAAACAACCAGAAGTCTAGAGGAAGAAGACAACGACGAGGAAGTTGAAGGAAGTTGAAGGAAGTTGAAAGAAGTTGAAGGAAGTTGAAGGAAGTTGAAAGAAGTTGAAGGAAGTTGAAGGAAGTTGAA